GTTATATATATATAGAGAGAGAGAGAGAGAGAGAGAGAGAAAGGATCTACTTACTCTAAGAGTAAGTTTTCTTAGGCTTACTTTATTCAATAACCCATGATCTACATCAAATTTTAACAATCTATCCATTAAATTAAAAGTTCTTAATGCATAAATCAAATATACAAATTTTAGAAAATTTTAAAAACTATATGATACTCTGTTTAATTAATTCAAATCAATAGGTAATCATAAAAGCATTTTATACATTGATTTAATTTAATGAAACATAGTATCAAATAGTTTTTAAACTTTTTAAAAATTTATAAACTTAATCTATGGATTAAGGACTTTTAATTCAATAGTTAAATGATTGAAATTTGATGTAAAATATGAGTTATTAAGTAAAATAAGTTTAGCTAGACTTATTCTTGGAGCAAGTGGATTATATATACATGAGGAGGGACCCACTTACTCCAAGAATAAGTTTACCTTGGCTTACTTCACTCAATGATTTATGTTCTACATCAAATTTCATTGATCTAACCGTTGAATTAAAAGTTTTTAATACATAGACCAAGTTTGCAAATTTTTGAAAAGTTTGAAAATTATTTGATGCGCCATATCATTAATTCAAATTAAGGAATAATCATAAAAATATTTTATACGTTGATTTTAATCTATACAACAAAGTATCAAACAACTTTAAAATTTTAAAAAAATTTGCAGAGTTAATCTATGCATTATGAACTTTTAATTTAACGGTTATATTGTTCAAAATTTGATATAAAACATAAGTTATTGAGTGGAGTAAGTGAGTTTCTCTACACACACACATACACACACACATATATATATGTGTGTGTGTGTGTAGAGGTTCCATTTACTTTAAGAGTAAATTTACTTAGATTTACTCTACTCAATAATTCATGTTCTACAATAAATTTTAACGATTCAATCATTAAATTAAAATTTCTTTTATAGGTAAAGTTTGTAAATTTGAAAACTATTTGATAATTCATTTCATTAATTCAAATTAATGGATAATTTTAAAAATATTTTAAAAGTTGATTTAAATTTATATAACGAAATGTGTGCGTACACACACACACACACACACACACATATATATATATATATATGAGGAGGGATCCACTTGTTCTAGGAGTAAGTCTCAGTAGACTTATTCCGTTCAATAACTCATGTTCTACGTCAAATGTCAACAATTCAATCATTAATGTAAAAGTTCTTAATGTATAAATTAAATCTATAATTTAAAAAAAAAATATTTGATACTTTATTTTAATAATTTAAATCAACCTATAAAAATATTTTTATGATTATCTAATAATTTAAATTAATGAAATAAAATATCAAGTAATTTTTAAAAGGGATAGATTTTAGAATATAAATTTTAAAAGAGATAGATTTTGAAAAGTTGAATAGTTGTGATGTTAGTTGGATGCTTTTAGGAGAGATTTTATTGATCAGTGAAGCTGCAGTACACAATTTGATATGATGTCTATTAATAGGCTGTTGCGCACATCCAGCATCCCTTTCAAATGGCAGTGAATTTTCAATGATTATTTATGTAGAAAATTCAAGTAAACAACACTATATCTAATTAATTCTACAATTTATTTGACCTATTTAGCTACTTATTTCTTTTACAAAATCACGTTACTATAATTGCCGGTAGTTTCTAGAATATCCATGTTTTCTTTTTCTATGAATTTGAATTAGTGTCTAATACTCCTCCTCGATGGCAAATTCTGAAAATTCTATACATGAATAATTCGTAGTAGAAAATCTATGAATAGTTTGTAGTTCCTCAAAGTTTATTCTAGATAATGTCTTTGTAAATATGTATGTTATTTGGTCTTTTATATTCAATATTTAAGTTGGATTCGCTTTATTCTCTACAGTTTTTAGTAATATTAGAAAATATTATTGAATTATGAATAAATGTTTCTAATTTACTTTTGTAGCATTTTATTAAATGTAAGATAAAATTTATATTACTAAAGATTATTAGTAACATTTTTATATATTAATGACAACATTTTAAAAATGTTATTAAAGTGGTTTTTATAATATTATAATAATATTGTTAAACTTTTGTAAATTTTATCAAATGATAATTATTATTAATCTAGATTGTACTACTATTTATATTTTATAACTCTTGCCAACGAGTTCTATGAAGTTAAAGATATTTTAAGTTAGTCATCATCAAATCTAGATGACATTATAAAGTTTATTTATCATAAGTTTCATCTATATACTTTTTATGTGTCATTCTTTTGAAGTGAATGTTAGGCAACAAGAAAGGATGGGGGTTTGAATTGTTGTCTCTCTTAAAAATCTATTATTTATTAAAATCGGTCCTTTTGAGCAACCTTTTCTTTAAACTTTTTGAGTAGAGTCTTCAATACTAGTCTTTTGAGAAGTTGAGTTTTAATTTGAAGCTTCTTGATAAATGATTCAAAGAGATGGACCTATGAATTAAGTCTTCAAGGCATCTTTCTTAAGAGAAAATGTTTATCTTGAACTCCCTTGATCAACAATGATTGTGTGCTCATGAATAAGCTACAACCATGGTGCTATATATCAGTTCAAGTAGCTTAATTGATTTCTGTGGTGCTTCTAAGCTGAAATACTTGTTAAGCTTTTGAGTACTAAATAAAGTAAATCTGAAACATTTAAACAAATCTATTGGTGCTCCACATGAAAACTCTTCATAGTTAAAACTTGAAACTAAATTTGTCATTATTAAAACATACATTAAGACAGAATTCAACATCTTTTACTCGATGAAGTTTGAAAAATAATTAGAGATTGAAGAAGTATATTCTTTATGAGTCATTCTTTTACTTGATGTGAGACTTAATTTTAGGAAACAATTAGAAAGAAAAAAACAATATTAAGATAAAAAAATGTTACTCTCTCTATATAATAATATTTAATATAAAAAAAAATATTACACTAACCTATTGAGTTAATTTATAGTAACATTTTAATAAATATAATTAAGTAGGCAAATATTGCTAAAGATGTTAAATGTAGTAGTGGTTGTTTGTGGTTAGCTCATGATTTTTCATAGCTCCTAGGTTCAAGCATAGTTGTATTGCAAATTTTGTGTGTGTGTGTGAATTTCTTGCCAATTCTTGAATTTCTTCTTAAGGTTGTTGCATTGGAATGGGTCAAAATATTGCATTTAACAACGTTTTCTTCTTCCCAAATTCAAGTAGCATTTTCATCAACCACAACATCTCAACTAATGGTGAGTTTCTTCGTTTGTTGGTTGTGAACTTAGTATCCTTTTGACTATGTATTGTATCCCAAGGATATTCCATGCATAGTCTTGCCTTCTAGCCTATGCCTTTTTTCTCTAGGAATATGTATGTAGCAAATATATATAGACTGAGATACTTGTAGGTGTTTAGCTAATGACTTTCACCTACTTGAAGTTTCAAAAAGGGTATTGTCTTGGAGTGCGCTTTAGTTGGACATTTGTTGTGTATATAGACTAAGTGTAAACCTTTTGTTGAAAAAGTGTTGAACAGATGTTGAGGAGAAGTATGTGACCGTACATCTTTACAAAACTTATCAAACTCATGTGAGTTGTACTTTTTGCTGCAATCACTTCAAAGTACTTTTATATGTTTTTCACTTTGCAACTCTAGAAGAGTTTTAAACTTCTTGAATATTTTGAAAACTTTTGATTTATCTTTAAAGAACTAAATCCATGTCATTCTAGAAAAGTCATAAGTTAAGAGGATGAAGTACCTATTGTTGTGAAGTTATGGTGTTATCATTGGTTCACAAATGGTGTGGTTCAACTCTAGCAACTCTTTAGTTTTGTATGCTTTTCTAGTTAAAAGTGATAGTCTATATTACTTATTGAGAAGACATCCTTCATAGGCTTTATTATTCTTTTAGAACTAGAAGATCTCTCATCATATTCTTCATAACAACTTCAAGGTTTGAGTGTTGAAGTGGCCAAATCTTTCGTCCCATATCCATGAATTATTAACTTGTGCTTTCATGTTAATGTTAATAGCATATTTGAAATTTATTGAAAAACTTTTATTTCCTTTATGCATTTTATTTGGGTTATTGTTTGTCTTTTTCTTATTCTAGATAGTGGATGTACCTTGTTCAAAATGAAGAACATGACCTTTCTCCATTATTTGACCAATATTTAAGATATTTTCGCCATTATTCTAGATAGTGTATTGATGAGTCCACTAGTTATGTCACTAATAAGGTGGACCAATCTTTGTCTAATCATAACCATGATTGCATTACATTTATAGGTAATAGAAATTATAATTTTTTAAATATTTTTCTTGACAAAGATATTTTTCTGATATATTTTCATTTGACTAACTATTTTGTTTGTTCTAGAATAGTAGTTTTTTATGTATGGTCTCATACTTTCCTTAATATTAAGAGAAATTCACATTTTAGAGTTTGAAATTTAACGTGTACCTTGTCACTTCTATATATCCCTTCTTTTCTACTCATGACATCGGCCCATTATTCTTGAAATAAGAATGTGTCAGCTACTATTCTTGGAGAATAAATAATTTACTTAGTGGAGAATAAATAATGCCCTTAGTCATTCCACTTATTTTCCTTCAACTTCTTCTAAGCTATAGTAGAAATTGCATTGTCTGCGAGACCATAAACTTAAAAAGTAAAAATATGTCTTCATTAATTTTAACACACTAAAAATTATAATTTTCCCCTATGAAAAAGAGATGGAGAGATGATTGTTATATATATATAATATATATATATATATATATATATAATATATTTTGATAGATAATGAACATTCTTGTAAATGTAGACATGAGAGACTAAATCACGTAAAATTTGTGTAGTCTTTATTTATTTATTTATTTTTAATTTCTTTTATGGTATTGTTTTAATGTATTTCTTATGTTTATTATGCGTAAAAGAAAAAAAAGATTTTTTGTTCCTAACAATATGTAAACATGTATGTAAATTTATTTTGATTATCTTTATGAATAATATTCAGTTTGTGAAATTTCTCTCTCTCTCTTTCTCT